CTTTTTTTTTTAAAAAAAAAGCTTGCTTTAAAAAGCATAAAAAACACATAAAAAACACAACACAAGAAATGGGAAAATCTAGAGAATGATTTTTTTTTTAGGAGTTGGCCTAATTTTTTTTTTTCGGGAAGTATCAAAACAAAATCAAATTAGAATTCTTATTCGTATATTATTCGATCATCTTTTTGTACCTGGTTTGGGAAATTTCCCAATTTTTTTTTAAATATTAGTAAGTTATTGTTATAATCATAAAAAAAATGCGAAAAGAAAAAAAAACGAAATTGGATCCAACGAAAAAAGAGAAGAAGGAAAGTAAAAAAAAATATTTCACATAAAGGATATCGACATCATAATGCGCTGTCATTATAATAATTTTAAACTTAAATTATTTTTTTTGTAGGAGTCCCGGGAAACCAACATAATTAAAATGTTTATAAAAATCATTAAGTTCATCATAATATACATAAATTTTAATTTTTTTTTTTTTCTTTTAATTAAAAAAAAAAAATCTTTTAAGAATAAAGGGAGGGGGAAATGAAATTATTATTAAAGTTTTAATCGAAAAATGAAGGGAGTAAGTATTCGTGGTGTTTTAACTGAACTATAACATCAGACTGAATAGGTGGTGGTAAAGTTCGGTTAGAAACACTATTTTTGGAACAATCCACAATATCACTAATGCTATTATGTGGTTTGGATGAAGTAATTTGTGGATTTGCCCAAGGCGAAGGGTAAATCCGTTTTGAACATTCCATCGGTGTAGGTTTACTTACGTAAAAAGGTCTTCTAGGAGTAGGACTGACAATAACGGGATCCGAAATTGGGGGTCTTTCTATTTCGGCATCCGTTGAACTGCCACTGGAACAAGATGTAACAGGACTTGGAGGGTGAACAGGTTTCTCATTTTCTTTACGATTACGCTTCGATTGGCAAGATTGTACATGTCTTGATAAATGTCCATGTCGAGTAAAGCTCTTAGTACATCCATCAATTGGACAATTAAAAGGTTTTTGCCATGAAGAATTAGGATGTGAAGTTGTGGATTCTGTAAAAATATATGTTGTAATCGTACGAGATGATGGGGAGGATGAATTATTTCCTTCATTTTGTTGATCACGGATATAAAGAGTTGTCAAATTTTTAAAAGAAACTGCAATCATCTTTTTATTTCTGTGATCTCGCTTTTTAAACGCGTTATCATGAGTTCTTTTATGTCTCGTCAATTCGTCAGATCGGGAGAATCTTTTTGAACATCCGTTCCAAGTACATTTATGAGGTTTTTCTCCAGTGTGAGTTCGGATATGTCTGTTTAAATGTTCCAGTCTGTTGAATTCACGAGTGCAAACTTGACATTTATGACTTTTAGGATTTCGGGATTTTGCTGGAGTCCTATTGTTTTGATCGCCTACTTTCGACGCGATTTTTTCATCAGCTGGAGCATTTATTAATTTAACGAGGTCGTTAGACATTATTACGTAAGAAAAAGATTTTAGGAAAGTAACGGAGTAGGAAAGGATTCGATGGAAGAAAAAGAGGGTGAATAATTACTCAGAGTAAAGATGTTTGTTTTATAAAAATTTGGTAGATTTTATATAAAAAAAAAATTTTTTTTTTTATATTTCAATAATATAAAATTGTTATCTTATCTCTAACAATTAGTTTATATATTATATATTATATATATTAATATAAATACAATGAAGCTCTTATCAGTAACAGTAAACAATACACACATATTTAATTGATTTTTTTCTTATATATATATAATATATATATATATACATTATATCCCTTATCTTACTGTACACAAACAATATTGGTTTATATACTACACAAGTTTTTTTTTTTTTTTAAAAAAAAAAAAAAAAAAAATTGAAAAAATTTTTTCATACATAATATAATGCATAATTATAATAGTATATATATATATACAACGTATCATTTGTCTTAATAAATCTTATTTGTTAATAATTTTCAATGCTTTGCAGTTTGCAGTATCGTAACTTTCCTGAATTAAATCTTGTCTTATTTATATTTATATATATATGATATGATTGAATTTTTTTTTTGAAAAAAAAAAAATAAAGTTATTCTAAATATTTTTATCATTCCTTATTAATCGCTTTTCTGAACACAGCAGACTGATAAGAGAAATCACATGCGAATAATGGTATCACAGCTTTAACTGTCAAAAAAATTTTTTTTCTTTCTATCAAAGTACATTAGTTCGTTCCGAATTTCCGAATGGCAAAGTAGATAGGGTAAAAGTATGACGTGAAACCAATGATTAGTTACGTCTCTTTTCCTTATACATCAAGAAAATATCACACAGCATGCATATAAATAACTGGCATTATCTCTATCTTTTCGTATCCTTTTTTAATAATTAGTGGCTAAAGGGACGGATTGGGATTTTTTTTTTCCACGTTTTACCAAAGGATTGTCTTTAATATTAAAACAATTGAAAAAGTAAATAAAAATACGATTATATAATTTTTTTTTTTCAAAGATACGAAAAACCAAAAAAGGTTTAAATAATTACATCATATTACATGATAAAAAATTTTATGGAAATTTTCAAAGTCAGGAGATGAAAATCGGAACTAAAAA